AAAAAAAAAAAGAATACCAGGTGGTGACCTTGTAAAATCAGGTTGGGGGCAGGGCGTGGGATGCTCACATGGGAGGTGATGTGGGAGCTGAGATCAGACTTGGAACAGTTCAGAGGCCTGGCGTGTAGTCGAGCAAAGATGAAGGTGGCCTGAACCAGGGGGCGTGGGATGGAGATGAGGATGCACAACCACTGGGGGCAGGGGGGTGTTCTCCATCGGGATGCCTTCCCTAAAAGCCCTTCTACCCCCGCCCCCCTCTGTTCCCCCCGTAATATGAGGGGCTCCTACTCACTGTGTTGCCGAGGGCTGAACCGGTCGGTCATCTTGGTGGCTGACCGGCCTCCCGCGCTGGTGGCGGTCACCCTGGCGTAGTAGAGCTTCTCAAGGCTGCCCGTCTCTGTGGTCAGGTTGCAGAATTTCCGGGGGATCCGCTGGCAGCCCTTCTTTGCCAGCCACCCTACCTCTCCGTACCTGCAGGCCAGGGAGGGGCCGAGCACACCGTGCATGAATAGGCCTGGTGTCAGGCCTGCGGTTTATTAAGAATGATAACGATATCTAATATTTACTCAGCATGTTCTGTGTTCCAGGACTTTTATGTGGATGATTTGTTAGTCCTCACATTGATCCTGTGAGATTAAGACATTATTCTCACTCCTTTTCAAATAAGGAAGCTGAGGCTTAGGAGTAAATTATGCCCAGGTGTTTGAAGCATGCCTCGGGGGGCCAGAATTTGAACCCAGCCAGTCTGAGTCCACATTCTGGGCTCATTGTCACCATAACCCTCCGAGGTAGGCGCTGTTACCCCACTTTACAGACGAGGGAACTGAGGCTCAGAGAGGGGGAGTGACTTGCCACAGGATGAAGTGGCAGGACCAGGAATGAAAGCTGGGTTTGCAGACCCCTGAGCCCATGCCAGCCTGCCTTCTCTACGGGGGACCGAGGGCATAGGTTCAAAGGGGTGGGCACAAGTTTGTGTTGGCTTAGCCTTGCCAACAATAATAAAACAATTATTTGTGGGGCACCAGTGCCCATGACTACCCACCTAACAAATGTATGATGAAGGCACTACAGCTATTCTTACTTTATGGATGGGGAAACTGAGGCTTGGTGTGGCTACCCGATTGACAGGTTATATAGGTGAGGGCTGGCATTCAAGCCAGACCCATACTTTTAACCATTATTTCATCCTCCCTCAAAAGAATCAAAAAGCAGAGCTACATTGGGGGGTGTAATGCCAGTCAGGGTGGGGGGTGGGGGGTAGGGGGCACGTGGAAGGGGGCGTTTTCTTGGAGGGGCCGGTTTCAGAGCAGAGTCAGAAGAGGTCGTGTTGGGGTGGAAGCCTACGTCTTATACTCGACGCTGTAGACCGTGTCTGGGGCGCTCTCCAGCCCGCTGTCCCAGGTCAGGATGTTTTCGAAGTTGCTGGACTGGAATGTCACGTGCTGAAGCAGATCCGAGGTGTCCTCGGCAATGCGAGCTGCAGGAAGGGGGCGCAGGGTGAGCAGAAGGCCCGTGCACCCCGCCCCCAGCACACAGTGTCCAAGGAGGGGGAGTGAGAAACAGCACCCGCCCCCTCACCAGAGACTGTGCTCCCTGGCCATCGCTGCTCTCCTCCACTTCTTAGTGTCCTTTTTATTGAGCTACAGTTCACATTCCATAGAAGTCACCATTTAAAGCGCACACGTCAGTGGTTTTTTAAAGTATATTACAAAACTGTGCAACCGTTACCCCTATTAAACGCCAACCATTCCCGCTATACCATCACCCTGTGTCCATTGGCAGTCTACTCTCCGTTCTTCCCTTTTCCCATGCTTAGGCTACCACTAACCCGCCCTCTGTCTCTATGGATTTGCTGTCTGGACTTTTTATATAAATAGTTGTACAGCATGTGGCCTTCGTGTCTGGCTTCTTTCACTTAGCACAGTGTCTTCCAGGTTCATCCATGCTGGAGCATGAATGAGTGCTGAGTAATATGCCATTGTATGGCTGTACCATATTTTGTTTATCCATTCATCAGCCGACGAACGTTTGTGTTGTTTCCATTTTTTGTTTTTTGTGACTAATGCTGCTGTGAACATTTGTATACACATTTTCAAATGGACATATGTGTTTAGTTCTCTTGGGTTTTCAGCTAGAAGTGGAATAGCTGGGTCGTATGGTAACTCTATGTTTAAGGTTTTGAAGAACTGCCAACCTGTTTTCCAAAGTGGCTGCACTATCTTACATTCCCACCAGCAATGTCTGAGTGGTCCAATTATTCCACATCCTTTCCAACACTTGTTGTTATCTCTCATTCACTTCTTTTTTAAAAACATATTTTGTGGAAGGCAAAGTCTCTGCTTGAGGTCAGAACAGAATGTGGCTTCCAGTGGGGTGGTAAGGTCAAGGGCAGGAGAGAGAGAGGGTGGGATTTGAGAGAAGGCCAAGGTCTGTTGGGGGCGCAGGGGTGGGGGTGGGGGTTTAGCCTCCCGTAGTGAAGGGGTAGGGTCTGCAGTGGGAAGATGGCTCCTTGGGGCCAGTATCCTGTGGGCTGTGTGGGTTGAGGGAAGGCAGGTGGCTGAGGCTGGGACATGCTCAGGAGGCAATGGCCCCGGCTGGGTGGAGTTCCCACCGCTCAGGAGGGAACTGAAGTTGGTTCCCTGAAATGGGGTGGCTGGACCTTGGCCGGGCCCCCTTTGTTAGGAGGTGTCAAGGCCTAACAATTCTCCCCTCTCCTCCCACCCCACTCATTTCTTTTCCTCCTCACATGCATCATCCGTTCCACAGCCTGTATCATGTCTACACTTCCCGGATGAAAGTCTACATTGTGAAATCCCGGGAAAACGTGTGTTGCAGAGACTGACAAACTGTAGACTTTATAAAAGAAAGTTTGCACATTTTTATGAATACATAATTTTAGATCAACCAGATGGGAAGCTGAGGACAAACAAACAAACAAACAAAGGCAATTCAACATGCTCGGGAATCAGCCCGAGAAAGCTGGGATGGGCGAACCCAGGTCCCTGAGTGACCTTACCAACGCTTACCAACCTCTCAGGGACTGCTTCTGCTGGGTTCCCTGTCTTAAAGGGCCAGGAGCCTCCATGGCTCCCAACCAGAACGGGTGGGGGGTCTAAAGGAACACGTCTTGGTGTCTCTTGAGGATGCGCATCTTCCTAGCTTATCAAAACCTCCAGGGTGTTGGGCCTGGTGTGACGGCAGGGAGAGAAGAGACTAGAGGGGCCTGGGCAGCAGCTGGAAACATGGTGGGTCTAGTCGGCACTGGCCGGGAAGCTCTGGCCCTTCATGGGCTCATCCTGCTCTTGACCTGCAAGTCCTTGCCCAGGCCATCCCCCCTCTCCAGCAAGGACTATGCTTTCACTTCCTGAGAAAGGTCCCTGAATCTTATTAAGCTTCTTAGAGAGCAGACACAACCTAGGATCTCACGCATCTGCCAGAAACTTCTTAATGATGAACCAAAGCACCCACCAGCCCCGCCTGGCGGCTCAGTTGGCCGGAGAGTCGTCCTGTGCACTGAGAAGGGCTGCAGGTTCAATTCCCAGTCAGGGCACAGACTTAGGTTGTGAGTTTGGTTCCGGTTGAGGCACAGCGGCTCAGTTGGCCGGAGAGTCGTCCTGTGCACCGACCGAAGAGGGTTGCAGGTTTAATTCCCAGTCAGGGCACAGACTTAGGTTGTGGGTTTGATCCCGGTTGAGGCATCTTAGAGAGCAGACACAACCTAGGATCTCACGCATCTGCCAGAAACTTCTTAATGATGAACCAAAGCACCCACCAGCCCCGCCTGGCGGCTCAGTTGGCCGGAGAGTCGTCCTGTGCACTGAGAAGGGCTGCAGGTTCAATTCCCAGTCAGGGCACAGACTTAGGTTGTGAGTTTGGTTCCGGTTGAGGCACATATGGGAGGCAACCGCTCAATGCTTCTCTCTCACACTGATGCTTCTCTCTCTCACACTGATGCTTGTCTCTCTCTCCCTCTCCCTTCTTCTCTCTCTCAAATCAATGAAAACTTATCCTTGGGTGAGGATTAAAAAAAACCCACCTAATTGTATTTGAAAACTATGCCCTCTCATCCCCTTTGGAAAGGGCCAGGTGTGTTAGGACCCCTTCAGGCTGCACAGTTGGCCACTGTGGGAGAAAATGCCCTTTCAGGTCTAGCAAGAAGGACTGGAAGAGGCCCCCCGGGGTGTGGAGGGAGCAGGGTTTGCCCACCCCATCGCAGTGTGCAGCTCAGTCCCAGCAGAGGAGAAACTGAAACCGGCTGTCCTGGGCCAGGCAGGGTGCAGGGAGATGCCCCTGCGCACTGGCTCCCGGGTAGGTGGGCACTCACCCGCCAGGGATCCCGCAGCCAGGATGGTCAGTAGCGTCCTCATCGGGCCACTGGGCACACAACCCTCTTGGCCTCCCCTCCAGGCCAAGCGCCGGGCGGGCGAGGGAGGCTGGGAAGCTTTGCCGCCTTGGCAGCTGGCTCCACCCGGGCGCAGGGCTCAGGGCGGGGCCAGCGGGGAGGGTGGGACCTGAGCCGTGGGGCCGGGTACAAAGGTGCCTGGTGCGGGTGCTTTGGCATTCCAGGTCCTGGGTGGGAGTGGAGGGAGTTCCTTTCCTAGGTGCAGAAAGCAGCCATAGTGACAGGCCAGCCTGTTTATCTGGTCTGTGGCTGATTCATCCCAGGCTCTTCGGTGGTTGTCAGGGAGCTGGGAGCAGGAGAGGCAATGAAGATCCATGCCATACGGCCTTATCAGAGAGCCATTTGGCACCGGGTAGCAAAAGCCTGGAGCATGTGTGTGCTGCCCCAGTAGTTCCATCCCCAGGGGTTTTCCCTAAGGAAAAGAACTGGACCAGGGAGCAGAAAACATATTCCAGAATGTTCCTTGTGGCAAAGGAAAAGCTGAGACTCTTTGGCTTTGCTCTGGCAGGAGGAGGTAGAGGCTGTACGCTGCCCCCTGTGCCCCATGGAAAGCAGGTCCCCATGCTGGAGGGTGGGATGCAGAGAGCCTTCCTCCTAGGCCCTAGGACCTAGGGGGCTGCTGGCACTTGAGCCTTTATGGTCTGGCACCTGCTGGAGGTTGGGGAGGAAAGTACGAATCTCAAACTTCCGGGACTGCCTACTGTGCTAACGATGGGGGCAAAATTCATGAGTGGGCCTCTAGTTCGGGACAATGAAGATTCAAACTGCTCACCCAAACCATCATTCTCCCAGGAGCTGTATCCATGGGGATTAACATGAAGTTCGTTGGGATGGGTATTTAGGAAATAATTCTCTAAATAATTTAGGAAATATCTTCTCCTTCTCACTGGACCTCAGGGAACATTGAAGGGGCCTGGACTCTGGTTAGGGTGACATGGCCATAGCTCTCTGGCCCTGGGGAGCATTTGGCTGACCCTAGGGACCCGGCAGGCTGAGTGCGGCCAGTAGCAGGAGAGCTGGCTCCTAAGGGCCTGCCTTTAGGATGTACAGTGGGGCCTTGACTTAAAAGTTTAATTCGTTCCGAGACCGAGTTCGTTAAGGAGCTTGTTAACTCAAATTACTCTATCAACTCAATGCAAAAAATCGGCCGAGAGATAGCTGGTATCTCAAAAAACTCATTAGTCGGGACACTCGTAAGTCAAGGCCCCACGTAGTAGGCTGTGATAGCCAGGGATCTGTAGTTAAGTTTTCCTTTTCTGTGTTGTAATTGCTTTCTATCAGCCCTCAGTCTTCAGTAAAGTTTGTTTGACAAAACAGCCACATTTGAGCTGTGTTTTGGGAGAATTGAGGGTTGGCTTGTGCTGTCATGTCCTGTAATTGTAGGAAACTACATTTCCCAGACTCCTTTGTCAATTGGTAGGTTTGACCAATAGGACACGTGAAAGAGCTGGAGGAGAGAAGTTAGGGTCCTTCTTCCCCTCTTTCTTTGCTTTGAGTGGCATCCCCAGCAATGGCCAAGTGTCCTCTGGAGCTGGGGCTCCCTCCAGCCAGGCAGCCACCAACGTCTTTCCGTCAGGTGGCCAGCGCCTGGTCACAACATCTCCCCCCCCACCCCAACCCCCCGTTCCCCAATTTTGCCCTTTAGCTCCAAGGGCGGAGCAATTTCCTCCTTGGTTCATCAGCTCTTCCATCATCTGGGTAACCAACTCCCTGGCATTAAAGTCCCTGGGTTTGGAAGACTTGAGAGGTTTCTGTGCCCCTGAATGGACCAGGATGGGTGCAGGGCCTCTGATGGCTTCAGGGACAAGGTGTGTGGGGAGATCATGGCCAGAGAAACAGGTTACAAAGGGAGAGGAGCAGTCGCCAGAGCCACCCTGGCTGCCTTGCAGAGAGGACAGATCTGTGGGGCATGAAACCTTCCTCGGGGACCCTCAGGAGCAGTGGAGGGAGGAACTTGATGGTAGAACCAGCCTTCCGGTCGTCTGAGGGACTTTGGTTATGTAGGAATGAATGGGAAGGGGGACACCTGAATTGTTAAAGAACCTGGGGATACACAGACTTCATTGCTTTTTTAAAAAATATATTTTTATTGATTTCAGAGAGGAAGGGAGAAGGAGAGATAGAAACACCAGTGATGAGAGAGAATCATTGATCGGCTGCCTCCTGCACGCCCCTCCCCCCGCCCCCACTGGGGATTGAGCCCGAAACCTGGGCATATGCCATTGACCAGAATCAAACTTGGGACCCTTCAGTCTGCAGGCTGACGCTCTATCTCCTGAGCCAAAGCAGCTAGGGCCAACTTCATTTCTAATAGTAAAAACACAAAACCAGTCTTCATGTCCAAAGACAGGGGTTTGGCTAAATGAATAATGGTCTGTCCACCCAATTCGAGATGAATGCAGCCTTCAAAGTAATGCAGGAGAAAAGTGTCCTGTGGCCTGGTAAACATTCACCACGTTTCGCCAAATGACAGGAAGTGCGGCATAGATTACATATAGTACACGCCTGGTTAAAACACACACTTACACACGTAGAGAGAAAAGTCTTGAAAAATCTAATATGAACATATCAACGGAGTTATCTCTGGGCGGTAGTAGAATTGCAGGGGATTTTTATTTCCTTTCCTTGGCTCATCTGCATTTTCTGAAGTTTTTCTAGGAAATATTTTGTATTAAGGAAGAGCAAGATCAATGAACAAAACAAACAGCCATTGAAGAAGAGCCTTTGTGAAGTGTATGATTGTCTGGTCACTGAGCTGTTCACAGAAATTAATACAAAATAACATTGAAGGCCTGGCCGGTTTGGCTCAGTTGCTGGCTTGATCCCCAGTAGGGGCGTGCAAGAGGCAGCTAATCAATGATTCTCTTTCATCATTGATGTTTCCATCTCTCTCTCTTCTCCCTTCCTCTCTGAAATCAATGGAGATTATATATATTTGAATGTGAACTGTAATTTTAAAAAAAAAAGTGCCTTTGCATGGGCTGTACCCCGCTCCTGGAATACCATTCCCTCTCCCTTAGCCAAACTCCCTCTCCTTCCAAGTCCCTGGGGATGGGTTCTCTTGCTGCAAGGTGCTGTGACAACCCCAGCCACCACACTGTCACTTTAAAAATCCTTCTAGAACTCTAATCCACCGCACCTTCAGCATTTCCCAATGTTATTCCTCAGTTGTGCTCCTGTTTAAGATCGGAAAGGAGAGACTCAGGTCAGGGCAAGGTGAGACAGGAGGACCGTCTTCCAATACCAGAGGGGCTGTTGCAGGGAGAAGGGTCTCGTCCCCCTCTGGGTAACCACCTCTAAACAGGAAAACCAGGGGGGCTGGGAGGGGACAAACAAAGAGGCACATTTCCTTGGATTTAAGGAAATAGCTCTTGCTCTGATGGTGTGGCTGACTTGAAGATGGGCTGCTCTTGGTTGCTGGGGGTATTCAGGGAGAGGCCGTGACACTGGGAGATGGTCCCTGGACCACTTTATTCTCTGGTCTCCAAAATGCAACGGTGCTTATCTCCCCGGTGAGAGAGAAAAGGTTCTGCCTGCGAAGAGCACCCCTTGTGTTTCTCTGTGTCCTCCACGTGGCTGCGCGTAGAGAACTTACAGCATCGACATGTGGAATCGGCCTTCATAGCGGCAGAGCACCTGCTGATCTCTCTGGCTGGACTGCCGGGGAAATGCGCCTGTTTCCTCTCGGACAAATTTCTCCAGCACGCATTGCACGGGCTTGCCTCCGAGCCTTTGTACAAGCTGTACCCGCCGCACAGAATAGCCTCTCCGCCTCTTGTTTTGCCACCTCGTTCTTGTTCCTTCTTCAGACCTCTTCTCAGATTCACTTCCTCCAGGAAGCCTGGCCTATGTGAGCCACTCCCCTGGGTGGGTTAGGAGCCCCAGCTCTGTGCTCCCATAGCCTCCATCCCTCCCTCATCCTAGCGTGTGTTGCACAATATTATCTCCCCCCCGCCACACCCATCATTGGTTATGGGGACAAAGTATATAACTTGCTTTCCTTGACATCTCAGCACCCACCACGAGCTGCCACAGAGCAGGGACCGGGTCATGTCTGTTGACCGGATGAGAGAGCTGGGGTGAGCAGGCCAGCTTCCGTCTTGGCTATGGAACATCCTAAGCTGTAGAAAAAGCACATCCTAAACGACAGATGCTCAGCAATGTGACCTGCTCCCGTGCCTCTTTCAACACCCAGGGACTCCAGAGCCTGTTCTGCAGAAGCAAGAACATCCCTAGCCCCTGGGTGTGCCTGGGGGCGGGGGACAGCTCTGCTGTCTCTGTGGTCGTGGCCCAGCAGTTTGCGAGCTGAAGGCGGTCCCTGGTCATTCACGGATGGGAAGAGCAAGGAACGAAGCTTTGGCAGCCCACCCCGTAGCCTCTTTTTGGAGAAAAGCCTGAGATCCGGACTCACTTTGGAGTCTCTGAGCCTGGGCTGGGTCCTCAGGGACACTGACCTGGTTGCTCCAGGTTGGGGTCCTAGGTCTTGTCCTTACCCTGCACCTGACTCCAGGTGACCTTGAATAGGTCTTGCCGCCTCTCTGGGCCTTTGTTTCTCTGTCTGAAAAGGCGGCTTGGCCTCGAAGTTCTCTAAGGGCCCTTGGAACTTGAACGGCCTCTGCTTCCATGTCATTTGGGATTGAAAAACCTCCCCTGACATCGCGGAGTTCCCTTCATGGCTGTTGTCGACGACACAAACGCAAACTCACTCAGCAGTTACTGACTCTGCGTATAGTTTCAGCTCTCTCTCAGGGAAAGAATTCTTGAAGCTTATTACATGCTTATAAGACCATGCTTCCTAAAGACATTAAGAAGGTCCTCGTCTCACGCCAGGATTGGGGGGGCCGTTTCACAGGGCCCCTGCGAGCCAGGAAGTGGGCAGACAGACCCAGCTTTGAATCCTAGCTCTGCCACTCACTTGCCCACAGTGTGTAGGTCGCTTAACCTTTCACGCTCAGCTTTCTCATCCACAAAAGGGAAGTGACTGTCCGCTCAGGCCTGCTGGGAGGGTTAACTAGCTGATGTGTTGGAGGACACTTCCTACTGAGTCTCCT